ATTATTTTACATTGTTTATTTCACTTTGATTATTTCCAGTTATAACAACGTCATCGACATACATTAACAGAACAATTAAAACATCATCAACACTTTTAGTAAACAAAGAATAATCACTAATGTTTTGAATGAAACCATGATCAATTAAGCAAGAAGAAAGCTTACTTTAAACCATACAGAGATTTAATTAATTTACACACACGCTTTATCATCTGGATTGTAATAACCTTCAGGTAACATCATATAAACTTCCTCAATCAAATCCCCGTATAGAAAAGCATTATTAACATCTAATTGAAAAAGACTTCATTTGAACTGAACAACTAAGGCTGTAATACAACAAACAGTAACCATTTTGACAACAGGAGAAAAGGTTTATTCATAATCGAGACATTCTCTTTGACTATGTCCCTTAACAACAAGTTTGGCTTTGTATCATTTTGTTTCCCCATTAGATTTATATTTTATTTTGTAAATCCGTTTACATCTTATAGCTTTCCTACCAGGAGGTAAGTCCGTAATTACCCAAGTACCATTTATATGTAATTCTTTCATTTCATCATTCATAACATTAATCCAATTTATATCTCTACAAGCCTCTTGACAGGTTTTGGGTTCAACAGATTTATTTAAACTAAACACAAAATATCAAAAGAAATGCAAGAATATTTAACAACATTTTCTAAACCATATTTAACTTTTTATTCAATAATAAATTCATCAAAATTTATAGGAAAAACATATGCCCTAATAGACCTTCTAGCAGTCTGGGTCAAGGTTGATGGTAAACTCTGAGTACCCCCAGTGATGAGACCCATAGATAGAGATTCATTGTACCTTTACTAATTTCCTTAGACAACATTTCAGCATCACGTTGAGTACTGGCAGCCGTGTCAGAGCTATTCAAAGGTTGCCAACTAGTAACTTCTTCAGGTTACGTTCATGAGAAGAACCTTTACTATTTGAGTTGCCTAGAGATTGCCCATTGGTAGCTCTAGTTGGGTTACCTAGTACATCACGGTTACTAGGGGGCAGAGGATGAATTATGAGAATTCTCATTATTTGACTTGTCTCCATTCTCATCATTGGGTGATGAACCAACAAACTCATTAGAAGACTCAATCACACAATCAAAGAAATTTAATCTGTTAACATCATCACTAAAGGATTCACTCACCCTGTCTAAACTCATCTTAAAAGGGAAAATATTTTCATAAAATTTAACATCACGAGAAATAATATTTTTCTAAGAATCCAAGCTATAAAACTTGTATCATTTCCTATAATTAGCATATCCCAACAAAACACAATTTTCGGACTTCAGAGTAAACTTGTATGTGATGTTAGGTATAACAGCAAAAGATAAACACCCAAAAATTCTAAGATGAGTAAAGATAGGTTGAAACTCGTAAACAAGTTAATGGGGACACTTACCATTTAAACCAGATGAGAGAGTTATATTTATTAGATATGTAGAGGTAAGAATGCACTCACTCCACATGTTTAAAAGGACTCATCCCTGAAACATAAGAGCCCTAGCTACATTAAGTAAATGACGATGTCTTCGCTCAACAACCACATTCTGTTGAGGAGTGTAAGCACAAGAAGTTTGATGAACAACACCTTTTGTTTTAAAAAACCCACTTAACCTTTGATTTGTAAATTCAAAACCATTATCACTCATGAACACTTTAACAATTTTTTCAAATTGAGTATTAACCAAATTAAAAAAGGGTCATGATATTCTCACCAACCTCATGTTTACCTTTCAAGAGAAAGACCCAAATAGCACAAGTAAAATAAAGAATTGTAAGAAAATACTTATAACATTCCTTACTCTGAACATGATAGGGACCTCAAACATCCAACTGAACTAATTCAAATAGATCTTTGGATTTATGTATACTCAGATTAAATTTTTCACGAGTCTGGTTTGCCTTATCACAGGACTAAGAGTGATGGACATGACTATTTTGAAGACGACATTGGATAGTATAGTAGTTTTGGTTTCTCTATATATTGTAACTGTATCAATGTCGTTTTAACTTCATTCTACCACACTTTTATTTTGATGGATTTCACAGTAGCTTTGGCTTTCTCGTATATACTAGTTAGTTTTGTTGTTATGTTTTCCTCCGCAACACACTATCCTCCCGTCACATGGAACGAGAGTATTAAAAATAGAATAAAAAATAATAGTTAAAAGTAAAATAACAATGTTCATAAATCAAAACTCTTTTTACATGAGTCTATTTTTTATTTTTAATTTCGTAAGTTAACAAATGTTTATAAGTAACAACTTTATTAAATGATAGCTTATGAAAATTATAATAAGAATAAATCATTTTTTAGTACAAAATAAAAATAATAATGAATCAATATTGAATAAATAACAAATCAATATATATATACACACACATATCTTTATCTTTATTTTTATATGTATAAAAGGAAAAATTTAGGGTACGGAGGTGGCATCATGTGAATTGAGTATTATCAAATGTTGGATTGTGGTTGAGTTTTAGTTGTCTCACATTAGTGAAAAGTTAAAAAACCCGAACAAAATGAAATGTACAAGAAAGGTGGATTGAATACATTTGTATCAAATTATGAGGTTTGCTTCATATGGTTGTCTTATTTTTTATGATCATATTTGAAACCTATAACCATGGTTGGAATCAAACCCAACGAAATGGTAAAAATTATAGTGCAAAATTATACGTATGTATATATATGTGTGTGTGTGTGCGCGCGTGTGTGCGTATTATATAAGTTAAAAATTGGGGTATTAAGGTAGCACTATGAGAATTGAGTATTGTCAAATGGTGAATTGTGGTTGAGTATTAATTGTCTTACATCGGTGAAGAGTTGAAATATTTGAATAAAGTGAAGTGTATACAAAGATGGGTTGGCGCATTTGTGTCAAATCATGAGGTTTGCCTCGTAAGGTTATCTTATTTTGGACGACCCTCTTTAAAATTTATAACCATGGTTGAAATCAAAACCAGCCAAATGGAAAAAGTCATAGTGCAAAACTAAAAGTGAAACCAAGGATGATGATTTGGCAACAGGAGGTTTGAGTGTTCCTCAAAATTTGAAATAAAGTTGATTTTCATCATCTCACATTGACGGAAAGATGATAGTTTAGAAGAAGATGATGAATATATAAAAACGTGATGTATTATTTGAAATATATAACCATTGTTGAGATCCAAACTAACAATTGGTTGCAAAACACACAATTAAAATCTTTATCTTTATATATAAAGGAAAATCTGCGGTATTGAGGTGAAACCGTAATAATTGAGTATTTTTCAAATGGTGAATCGTGGTTGAGTTTTAATTGTCCATGTTGGTGAAAAGTTGAACAAAGTGAAGTGTATAAGAAAGGTAGATTTGATGCATTTATGTCAAATCATGGAGTTTGTCTTATAGGGTTGTCTTATTTTAGATGATCTTCTTTAAAATCTATAGTCACGGTTGGGATTAAAACCTACCAAATGGTAAAAATCTTTATCTTTATATATATAAAAAGAAACATTGGGGTATTGAGGTTACACCATGATAATTGAGTATTCTCAAATGGTGAATTGTGCTTGAGTTTTGATTGTCCCACATTGGTGAAGAGTTGAATAAAATAAAATGTGTAAAAAAAGTGGATTGCATGTCTTTGTTTCAAGTCATAGGTTTGCTTCATAATGTTGTTTTATTTTTGATGACTCTCTTTGAAATGTATAACAATGGTTTAAGTCAAAACCAAACAAATGGTAAAAACTATAGTCCAAATATAAAAGTGAAACCAATGACGGTGACTTGGCAACATGAGATTTGAGTATTCATCAAATTTGAAATAAATTTGACTTTCATCATCTTACATTGGTAAAGAGATGGTAGCTTGGTAAGAGGTGATGGATGTATAAAAACGTGATGGAGCTTTGAAATCTATAACTATGATTGAAACCAAAACCAACTAAGGATAGAGATTTTTACCCGGTAAGTGAGGGTGACAACTATTACTTGGGTAAACACTTACCATACATATTGTTGCACACAATACCATTTTAATATACTACAATCTTACCTATAAAATAAATTATAGCGTTGACTCCTAACGATAAGTACTTACCAGATAAATATTTAGGTAAACAACTACTTAATGTACGTTCGCTGTTGTATGCATTTTTATCTTATGAATTATAAAAGAAAGATAAAAGCATCTCCAATAGATTATCTAAAATAAAAAAAACTGAGACTTTGTTTTATATTTTTCTCCAATAAATTCTCTGTATTATTCTCTAAAATAGATGGAATATTAAAAAAAAAAAAAAATTATGGAGCACCTTGAGTATCTATAATTTTCTCTAAAATAGAGAACTAAATATTAAAATCTTTAAAAGATTTACATTCAACTCTAACAAATTATATATTTTAGAGATTTTAATATTAATTATATTATTAAAATATTTTATATTTTTATTATAACAGTACACTATAAAAAAACTTTATATAAAATAATAACGACTCGATGTCTCAATCTTATTAGTGAAAATGAATAAAAGATCGTTCATCTTTCCTCACATCAAGTTTTAGAGAGTTATTTAAACTTGACGTTCTTTTAAATTTTAGATAAAAAATAGAGTTGGATTCATTTTTCTAATAAATAATTGATAAAAATAAATTGTGAATAATTTTTTGTAGAATTAAATATCATTTGGACCAATAGTTATTGAAAATCACAATCGCATTCCAAAATTGTGATTTTAAAAAGTTATTGGACTAAAATTACAACTTAAAAAAAGTTTAGGGATCATTTGTGAAAAATACCCCAAAAATTTAAATCTTTAACATCATTAGCATTCCATATTTGGCGCCAAAATTTTCTTCATAAAAACCCGGGAAACCACCACGATGGGCACCAAGTTTTATAAGATTTCAATATCTTGGCGCTAAAATTACTTATACAAAAAGCCCCTTTCCCCCTCTTCCTCGTTTACCATTTCTCTCGATTCACAGTAGATCTATCTAGAGAGAAAGAGATTGAGGTTTAGGGTGAGTTAGGGATCTTGAGTTTTGTTGATTTGATTTCCATTTGTCGGTTGTTTAATTCTTCAGAGCAAGAAGAGATGGCAAAATCGGTGACCCCAGAAGCGATATCGGTGATACTGTCCAATCCTTCTCCTGATTCGTCGGCCGTTCATCCAGAAATCGTTGTCCAAGTACTCCATATCAAGTCTGCTGGCAACAGATACACGTAGGTTTCTACAGTTTTCTATTGATGGTTTATGTTCTTTTGTTGATTTTTTGTTTTCTTAAGTATATCGTACCTTGTATCCGATGTTCAATGATCGTATTTGGTTTATCACCTACTATTGATCTCCCTAATACGTAAGATCTACAGCAGAGGACTGAAGTTAAAAATGAATCTGTTAAAGCTGAAGGAGGGTTTATTTTCTCCTTATGTTGATCCAACTGTTAAACAAAAAGTTTCTAGTCTTTCATGTCTAGATCTCAACTATTTCTGTCACAGATTTTTGTTTTTGTTCTCTAAAATTTGAACCCTCAAGAGGTAAATTGATTTTCACAAATACATCTTTTTTGGAGATTTATGCCCTAAATATAAATACAAACTTCGGTTAACGTATGATGTACTTTATAAAATGGGTGATTTGGATCCCTAAATTCCATATGCGATTCTTATTAAGCCAAAAAGTTTTCAAAATTTTTTTGTTATGTCGTGCAGATTTTGAAAGCTATCGAGATTTTGTTTCAATACATTACACGATTCCTTGAAAGAAATCCTAATTTAACCTAATATAGTATAGTTCATATCAATGCATAGGTTAAGCAGATGATTTAAACATACAATCATGGCAACCATGCATTTTCGGTCAAAATACTCTAGGTCAAAGTACTTGACTTATAGATATATAAGCTCCATCATATGACTTGGATTTGCCATCTTGTAATTGGTGTTAATTGGTATAGGCATAGTGTTGCCAACTTCATTAAATCCCAATTGTTCTTGTTTACAGGTTTACTGTCAGTGATGGCAAGATGAAGTTGAAGGCAATTTTGCAGTCTAGTTTATCATCTGAAGTGATCAATGGAAATATTCAAAATTTGGGCCTTATTCGTGTCATTGATTACACTCTCAACGACATTCCAAACAAGAATGAGAAGTAAGAATTTTAATTGTATTGTGCTTTTGCAATGAAGTCATTTTTCTTTTTCTTTTTTGCAATTTATAGATTTTTGTTAACCCCTTTTGGTGTTGTTTCCTTCAGGTACTTGATTGTGACCAAATGTGAAGCTGTGTCTCCTCCTTTAGAGGCAGAATATAAGGTAGAGGTGAAGAGTGAAGGAGCTGGCATTCTGTTGAAGCCAAAGCAAGAAGTTATCACTAAATCAGCAGCTCAAATTATCAATGAGCAGAATGGGAAGTAAGTATCTTTGTTTGTCATTAATTTAGCATACCTTTCATACTTTTTTTGCTTGGATTTCATAAGAATGATCAGTAAAAATTATAAGTCTGTTGTCTTCTAAAGTGGGTGTGTTAAAATTTGTGAAGGATTCAGATGCAGTTTTGGTTTGTTTCACTTACCAAGGTTGTATCTTTCTTACTGTAGTATGGCACCCTCTGCCCGAATGGCAATGACAAGGAGAGTTCATCCACTGGCTTCTTTAAACCCTTACCAAGGAAATTGGACGATTAAGGTTCGATTGACGTCCAAAGGAAACATGCGCACTTACAAGAATGCAAGGGGGGAGGGCTGTGTTTTCAATGTGGAGTTAACTGATGAAGATGTAAGTGTTATTGTTTCAGTAATGGTTTTTTAAGTTCTTAATTGATTTATTTTGTGTTGAATGTAAATTGAAACCATTCTTTATTAACTTTTTCTCAGGGTACTCAAATCCAAGCAACCATGTTTAATGAGGCTGCAAGGAAGTTCTTTGATGTGTTCCAAACGGGAAAAGTCTATTACATATCCAAAGGAACTTTGAAAGTGGCTAACAAGCAATTCAAGACTGTACAGAATGATTATGAAATGACTCTAAATGAAAATTCTCAAGTAGAAGAGGCAATCAATGAAGCAGCTTTTATCCCTGAAACCAAGTTCAATTTTGTCCCAATTGATGAGTTGGGACCATATGTTGGTCAGAGGGAGCTTGTGGGTATGAAGCCTAACTTTAATCATTTCACATATTTCTTTCTATTTAACTATATTGAATGGCTTTAACATTGCTATAAATTGCAGATGTTATTGGAGTGGTGCAAAATGTATCTCCAACAATGAGCATTCGAAGGAAAATTGACAATGAGGCCATTCCAAAGCGTGACATAATCATCGCAGATGCAACGTTAGCTACTTATTCTCTTGTTCAATGCTTATACTCCCCTTTTGTTACCTATGTTGAATTGGAAACATGCATGTCTTTCAGGAAGAAGACTGTAGTTGTGTCTTTGTGGAATGTTCTTGCCACCGATATCGGCCAAAAACTATTAGACATGGCTGATGAATCACCAATAGTTGCAATCAAATCTTTAAGGGTATCAGATTTTCAAGGTAAAAATACATAAAATTCCATCCGTCACTATAGCCGGTATGAAGATATTTAGCTATACTTAGTTCTTCTGTTCTTCTTGGCTTTAGGGGTATCTCTGTCAACATTGGGAAAAAGCATTGTAGAGATAAATCCTGATATCCCAGAATCTAACAAGTTGAGATCATGGTAAGTTCTTGTGCCATAAAATGATCGACTCATCCATCATTACTGCAAGTTATGTGATGTCTCATATGACTGCTTGGTTCACAGGTACTGTTCTGAAGGCAAAGAAACCTCCATGGAATCTGTTGGTGCTGGCTTGAGCCCATCGCTTAAAAGCGGTGGTAGGTCCATGTATTCTGACCGTGTGACACTTGACCATATAACCAGCAACCCATCTTTGGGTTCAGATAAGGTACCCTAATATTATGTTCTTATGCTTAAGTAGTCAAGTAGATAAAGTTTACCATTTAAGATACTAAAATCTGTCCATCTGTTGCAAGTTGCCACTTATTATTAACAAAGTGTTCATGTTTGTTTGGCAGCCGATGTTTTACAGCACACGAGCTTGTATGAGCTTGATCAAAACTGATCAGACCATGTCATACCGAGCATGCAAGACTTGTAACAAGAAAGTTACTGAAGCTATTGGATCTGGTTACTGGTGTGAAGGATGTCAGAAGAATGAAGAAGACTGCAGTTTGAGGTTTGTCATTGTTACAAATCCCTACATCATAGTGTGTGTGTATATATATAACAAATACTTGCACACAGTGTTCATCTTTAGTGAGGTCTAAACCCTTGACCTTCTACTAGTATTCTGGACCCTTTGGTTCCATTACTAAGTTGCAAGATGGTCAAGAATGGCATTGTAACCTGCATCATTTGTTTCATCTAAATTCAGGTATATATTGGCTGCAAAGTTTTCTGATGCAAGTGGTGGAGCTTGGTTTTCGGTTTTCAATAATGAAGCTGAAAAAATAATCGGATGCTCAGCTGATGAGCTTGATAAGATGAAGTCACAGGTAAAACTGCATACACACAACTCAACTTTTGCAAACTCTAGAACCAGTTTTCTCATCTTTTGTTTGATGTTTTGCAGGGTGATGGAACTGATTTCCAGTTACAACTTAAAAAGGCAACATGGGTCCCACATCTTTTCCGAGTTAGCGTTGCACCAAGAGAGTACAACAATGAGAAGCGACAAAGGATCACTGTTAGGGCCGTTGCTCCGGTTGATTTTGCAGCTGAGTCTAAGTTCTTGCTGGAAGAGATATCTTCGATGAAACTTTGAAACGTTCTCGTGTTCCATGTTTTTTTTGAAACTTAACGCCAATCGTGTTTGACGCGATACTTAACAATGGTGTTTTTTCAAAGATGTATCTAAGTAGTTTTAGTTTTTGGGATGATTTTACATAGGTTGGTACTTCTTATAATCTATGTGCTGATGTGCATTGCACAATTGATCATGAAATATGGTTTTTATTGCATTATTACCAAATTCAATGAAATATGTCACTATATCTAGTTTATAATATTATGTTTTAAAATGAGATGTTTATTCTTTATTTTAGATGTTTATGTTGGTTACACGAATTTAAACATAAAGTTTTAATAAGTTGTACTTATGTTCAATTTACTTGTAATTTTGAATTTTAAGTAATATGCATTAATAAACAATACTTTATACATAAAAAATGGTTTTTAAGAGTTTTTATCAAATGCTTTATAATATAGTATAGATACGTGGGATTCTAATAGTGTTTATATTTAGATTGAAAGTCATGTTGAAAGTTTGAACAATCTTTCTACTAGAAACACATTGTATGAGTGTCATTTTGTATATAAACTATGTAATGAACATGATGGTCTTAAGTTTTTGACAGCGGTCGAGCAGCTGCCCACGTATAAATCCCGGCAGATGGCGGTGTAGTGTTCGAAAGCAAGTTTGGTGGAATCCCATAAACATCCGAAACACTGATCAGGTGTTGATTGTGTGCTACGGTCGTGACTGCTGCCGCTTCGTCTTTGTCAATCGGCAACCGGTCGAAAGTTGCATTCATGAAAGTCGCTGCCATTATTATAACCGGCCCTGATGCGATAAGAGGGCCTGAAACAGCCCCACCAACTACCTGGCCCTGCGGGCCAGCTAGGTAAATATCTAAGCCTGTAACACCTGGTGGAGCAGGTGGCGGCAATACTGAACCAATTAACGACAAAATCTCAAAGTGTCCGTGGAGTGTGACTATGGGCCCGGTTGTTGAAGACGGGGACGGTTGACGTAACGTGACATTAGTGACACAGCCGGCAGCGCTTAGCACGCAGATCCCACGTTGCTTTCTTCTAGCAAAGGTGGCTAAGCTCTCACCCACGTCGCACCCAGGGCTAATCTCCATGGCGTGGGCTCGAAGTGTGTTGGCACTGTCTCGGGTTATGATGATGGGTGGTTTAGGCTTGTTTTTGGAGCCGGCTGGTCGGCCTCGTGGCCTCCTCGTTACATGTTCACCGACACCTGTAGCGCTACGGTCCACACCACCAGCCATGGTTTGTGATTTTTGAGCCTTGGTTGCGTTTAAGTAGGGAGATCGAGATCGATATATTTATGATGAAAAATCAAAAGAATGACAAAAGAGTAGGAGATGGTTAAGTAACACCAAATGTTTTATAATCCCTTTTAGAGTTCCTAATTCTCAACTACATATTCAATTCAATTGCCTCTAATGAATCCCAATAGTAAAACTTGCAACCAAATCATTTATTTACCGGGTAAGATTTTAGTCCACCAAAATGGTATGATATGCAACAATTTATCCGGTAAGTGCTTACCGTGGTAAGAGTCATCATCCTCACTTACCGGGTAAGACTTTTGGTCATTGTTTCGCTCTTACCGGGTAAGATTCTTGGTACTTACCATATTCATCCAGTAAGGTAATGTGACTTGGTATTCACTTACCCGAGTAAACGTTTGGTAAACAGCCCCTTAGTAAATACCGAACTTCAGATGTACCTTTTTATAACTTATAAACTAGTTATGTTTAGTAAAGCTAGAAAACAATATAAATGTTACTAATAAATACATGTTGAGAACAGTGACGTTCCAATCTTTTGGATTACATTGCATAAATGAGATAACAAAGAATATATGTTAAGAACGAAAATGGTCTAAACCTAAAATGATTAACAATCTGAAACTAAACCTAATAATGATTTGAACCTAAATTAAACCAAACAATTAATGGTTTGAACCTAAATAATTTCGGCTATAGTTTTACACAGGTCAATAAAAAGATCCTAAACACATGTAAATTTGGGTCCCAAATTTTTGAAAATTGTGTTCAAAATCTCACATTTAACATGCTAAGGAACAGCCCTGGTTGAGAAAATCATTAGAAATATACCAGAGGCATAATTGAAAAAAACTAAAACTTATTAAAACGCTGTTGAAAAAGCTTTTAAAAGGGCTACCTTATAGCTTATCACTAAGTAGACATTTTTTTTGATAAACTCATATAATAATCTAAGGAGCCGTTTACCAAACACTTACCCAGTAAGTGCTTACCGATAAAATTTAACACTATTTTTTACTCACCGGATAAGATTTTAGTTCACCAAAACGACATAATATGCAAAAATTTACCCGGTAAGCGCTTACCATGGTAAGAGTTGTCGCCCTCACTTACCAAGTAAGACTCTTGGTCCTTGTTACGCTTTTACCGGGTAAGATTCTTGGTCCTTATCATATTCATCCGATGAGGTAATGTTACTTGGTAAACGCTTACCAGGGTAAGAGTTTGATAAACGGACCCTAAATTATGGCCGCCAAACATTGTCCATAATCTTTTTGGAATGCAAAAGACAACAGTACAAAACATCACACAATGAAATCTGGGCATTTTTGCAGATAGAATAGCAACATTTGCAAAATAGGGAAGATCAAGAACCCTAATTCATAGAATTATTGTATGAAAGATGGGTTTCTTCTTTCTGTCTCTACAAAAGCATTCATCGAATATGACAAAGTGAAAAAGTTCGATACGTAACAACTAAACATTAGAAGGAAACATCGAAGGTTGAAGAGATCCGGAATCCATGTTCAAATAGCCATGAGGTCGCCAAAATTTCGCATCAAAACAATTGAACCAGCAAACAGCCCGACAGCACGGAGTAATTTCTGCAACGAAAAACAGGAAATCAGATTGATCACATGAAAAGGAAAGAGCAGTTTAGTAAATGTGGTTGCATCAGTCACAGCTGAATCACTGTTCTTGTTAAAGGAAAAAATCTACATAAATGAGAACTCGTTACAGGTGTGGATTACTACCGTTTACCTCGAGAACTCTAAGCAAGAATGAATCTACATAAGTCACAACACGATTTCTTTTTAATTTTTGATAAAGCTCAGTGAGGCCTGATGCTTTTGGCTTTAGATATCAATCATAACGACAAGAACAGCTAGCATGCAGGAGACCTCAAAATTGGTAAAGAAAGAAACACGGTGATGGAAAAGACTATACAGTCTCCTTAATCCACATTACATACTTTTCAATTGGGCAAAATACAACGAAGTTTCTTTATTTCCTACTTTGTGTACATTTTTTCCCTCGATCAATGTAAAAAAGTTTCAAAATTTCCTTTTTTATCCATTTTGACCGTTAAACCTGCTAATCTTGTAACATTTGATAACGTGACGTGGATGTCAAGTTGTAATTGTTTGATAACGTGGTTACATTTTGTCCTTTTCAATTTGTCTCTTTTAAAAATCTTTAGATGCTGCCATGTGATAAGTGTTCTTATTGTTTGATAATATCCAATATTTTCCCAATAACTATGAAATATCCATTCAACGTTGGCATACTTATCAAGATATGTAACGATGTACAGGGACATAGATGACTCTAAATCCAAATAAGCAGTCACTCGAAATAATGGAAGAGGGCTCTGAACCAAACATACAATGTGAAACTAGAATGCTCGAGAACTACCTCTCACTTTCTCGGTCACAGTGGATTTTGTTGAACATGTGAATAGTTACAATATCAAATCACATGCTACCTTAATTTCCTGATTCAATTATGAACTATTATATGAGAGCTAACTATTGATCTTGATGTGTCTAACTGTAATCATATACCAATTCACCTGGTAAAGCTGAAAACCATACACAGTGCATCATGGTGCTACATCAAAATCCATCCCCCCCCCCCCCCCCTTTTTTTTTTTTGCAGTGATGGCCTACAAAGATGGCTATATCTTAACCACAAGGGTGGTGCATGATTGGTTTGAGCTTGGCTCCAAAGGTCAACAGGGTTAGGAGGTCCCAAGTTCAAATCCAAAGAGGAATAAAAATCCACTTGTGGCCACGGAGGTTCAAATGCGGTGACTCCAGGCTATCTGCAAAGCAGGTGGTCGCCCTGGGATTAGTCGGCTCGTATAGTGGGTTGGATATCCAGGTTAATAAAAAAAAATGTCTATATCACAAGACAGAACAACTTCTATGAAACAGATATCCACCAAGATCTAGACCAGATATAATATTCAAAACAGACAAAAGAGATGCATAGATATCCATCCTCTGTAAGACCAGATGTATACTAAATGACACAATTGTAAACCGGAAAATTTATAAATCCAAACCCTAACTATCAATTCTACAACATGAATAAGCAACTGGCGTTTGGATTGCTTATAAAAGCAACTTATTGACTTATTCCGGTGTCAATAAGTACTTTTGAGTGTTTGGATAAACAAATTATACCTAGGGGTGAACAAAAAACCGTCAACCCGCGAAACCCGCCCAACCCAACTCGCTAACAACCCAATTAAACCCAACCCGTCTACCCGCCAAACCGTCCACCCGCCAAACCGCTAACCCGCAAATTAGGAGGGTTGAAATTGGGTTGACCGCCGCTAATATATAATTTTTATAAAATTATATATATATATATATATATGTATATATATATTTATTATGTATATATATATATATATATATTAATAATGTATAATTTTATATAATTTTTATTGATATTATATTTTGTTCCATTTCAATTAAACGTATAGGTTACCAAAAGATATACACGATCAAATAATGATGACAAAGAATCTAATTAATAAGAAAAATTATTGATTTGTTTTGTAGAAAACAACAAATTGATATGTTGGAAAATATGAATGATATTAATAGATATTTGATGGACGAATCCATCAATCTATGACGCTTTTAAAGAGTTACATTAGAAAAAATGTCTTATCTAAAAGAGTTTCAATATGTTTATAGGATGGTTTTGGACGTCTTAACAAATTTGCTTTGAAAATAAAGTGTCGTATTAATTATTTTATACAACACGACTTGAAAAAGTGTCATATGAGCATAGGTGTCCTATAAATAGATGAGTTTATGGGACACTTCTCAAAATGTTTCCATAAAATAACTAATACGACGTTTTATTTAAAGATCATTCTAAAACACTTGTTGAAACGTCCAAAAACGTCCTATAAACCTATTGTTACGTTTTTAGATAGGACGCTTTATAATATGGTCTATAAACATAAGTTTTATGAATTATTTCATTCGTCAAATTATGTAACTACTAACCCGCCAACCCAACTCAACCCGCCTCAACCCGCAAGGGTAGGGTAGGGTTGGGTTGGGTTGGGTTATACTTTTGAATGGGTTGAGTTGGGTTGAGATTTTTCAAACCGCCATAATTGGGTTGGGTTGTAAAATTGTTGTAAACCGCCCAACCCAACCCGCGTTCACCCCTAAATATACCAATGCCAAACCGGTAATAAGGATTTTTTTGAAGAAGTTAAATCATTATAACTTATAATAAATTGATAAGGACTTTTGTAGAAAAGTATAAATTGTTTTAAATAAGCAAATCCCAAACACCCTTTAAGCAAGCCAATATCATACATCCAACGGCAAACACCAAAACAAGTGAAAGTCAGAAATCAACAAACGGCAGACCTAACAAGCTATTTCCGGTTACATGGATAACCAAAGCAGATGTGAAGGTCACAATATTAACAAAAACAAGTAATAGTTATCAAAATCGATTTTTAAACAGGCTACCCGATCTACAATCTGCACAAGTAAATATTACCCGAATATAATCGGAAGATTTCCACAAATCAATATGCATTTGAGGAGCTGTATAAAATCATAACTTTCGATACAGAAACAATAATACGAAGTTGTACATCAACAAATTAAAAAATTACCGCGTTAAGAGCCCAATTCTCTTCATCGTTAACTTGAGATCTCCAGAAAGCTTTAAGTTTATCCACAGATATCACAGCGTCCGCCATAGCAAAAACCAAAAGGATGCGAGAGAGGAAGAGAGATTAGGGTTTTTGAGTTGGGGTTTTTGATGAGCGTCACAGCAGCAACGAGGACTAGGTTTTACGTATCTTTATTTATATTATATATTTGATAAAAATTTTGAAAAATTATTTTTTATATAGAAAACACAATTTATTAATATATATTATTTAAAATTTAAGATTACGAATAAATTATGCATAAATATAACTTATTAAAACTTTATTTTTCAATTCGT